TTCTACCCGGGTGTTTCTGCTGAACCTTAAATGCTTGGTTTTGATTCCCCATCTATCATTAGATATATTGAACCATTGACAGGCGACTCGTTTAAAGCAAGGTTTGCTAATTATCATTTTGATGAGACAGTTTTCCCACCGTTAGGGGGAGATAAAATCCTAATTCCTATTGAACAACGTGAAATTACTTGGAATGTACCATCTTTATCTCACTCGGACCCACGCACAAATCAATGTGAACAGGAGGTGAGACGAATAATACATTTGCAAAATATTGCAAATCAATTGCCAAATGCATTCATTGATACAAAAAATGTGACGAAATCTCATATACCAGTTATTAACACACCTGCACGTGTGAACGTCTTAGATGAACAAAATAATGAAGCACTAAAACCGCGCATGAAGCGTGGACGTCCCCTTGGTGCAAAAGATAAGAACCCTCGAAAGAAAAGGGTACAAGAGATGAAGATCTCAAATGATAATAATATTTCAAATCAAGAAAGCGCTATGCAAAATATGACTAATCAGTCTGAAATTGTTAAAGAAAAGACCTATGAAGAGGTACATGCCCCTGAAGAGGAATGTCTAGAAGGTTTTAGAACTGAAGAGATATCCCTAAACTATTTGAGTACAAAAGAAAGTTGGGATAGAAAAAGGGTGATCATTGATGACATTTTTGCTTATAGTGTTGCATTAAATATTACAAATGAGGATCCTGAACCAAAATCTGTAGAAGAATGTCGACGTAGAAATGATTGGCCAAAATGGAAAGAAGCAATGCAAGATGAGTTAAAAGCTCTAGAAAAACGTAAAGTTTTTGGACCTATAGTTCAAACACCTGAAGGTGTAAAGCCCGTTGGATTCAAATGGGTTTTCCTGCGAAAACGCAATGAGAAAAATGAAATTTTCAGATATAAGGCTAGACTTGTTGCCCAAGGTTTTTCACAACGACCTGGAGTCGATTATGATGAGACATATTCACCTGTGGTAGATGCAATTACATTGCGTTATTTGATCAGCTTAGTAGTCACAGAAAGACTTGACATGCGTCTCATGGATGTTGTTACTGCATATCTGTACGGATCTTTAGATAATGAGATTTACATGAAAATCCCTGAAGGATTCAAAATTCCTGAAGCATGCAATCAGAAAGCTCGTGAGTTATTCTCAATTAAGTTACAGAGATCATTATATGGTTTGAAACAATCTGGTAGAATGTGGTATAACCGTCTTAGTGAATACCTTGTTAGAGAAGGTTACATAAATGATCCAATTTGTCCATGTGTTTTCATCAAGAAATCTGAAGTTGGATTTGCTATCATAGCAGTGTGTGTAGATGACCTAAACCTTGTCGGAACACCAGAAGAATTATTAAAGACTGCAAACTATCTAATGAAAGAGTTTGAAATGAAAGATCTTGGGAAAACCAAGTTTTGTCTTGGCCTGCAGATCGAGCATGTATCAAATGGGGTAACGTAAAGCAAACACTAGTTGCAACCTCGTCAAACCACTCGGAGATAATGGCGCTATATGAAGCAAGTCGAGAATGCATATGGTTAAGGTCAATGGTTCATCACATTCGAGAAACTTCTGGATTATCTTTGAAAAAGGCTCCATCATTACTCTATGAAGATAATGCTGCTTGTATTGCACAAATTAAAAGTGGCTACATCAAAAGCGACAAGACAAAGCACATATCACCAAAATTCTTCTATCTGCACAAGCTTCAGAAAAGTGGAGACATTGAGGTTCGTCAGATACAGTCATGCAATAACCTTGCGGATTTGTTCACAAAGGCATTGCCAACTACGACATTTAGGAAGATGATCAATGGTATTGGAATGCGTCAACTCAAGGATCTTTTGCCATGTCCAGGGGGAGCATTATAAGCATTGTACTCTTTTTCCTTCGTCCAAGTTTTTGTCCCATTGGGTTTTTCTTGGCAAGGTTTTAACAAGGCAATGTCTTAAGCTCTAGTCTACCTAAATGGTGAACATCCAAAATTCAAGGGGGAGTGTTATGTACAAATGTCTTTTGATGTTCTCCATGTCTAAGTTAGACCTTTGATTTTCCCCTTTGTAAGCCTATATATAGAGGCTCCATATAATGAAATGATCTATCCATCTCTTTGCTCTCTCATTGCATTTCTTCTCCTTCGGTTCTCCATTGCACTTTGTCCTTGCATTTGTGTTATCAAGGTATATCTCCATTGCACTTTGTTCTATCGTTTTGTTCATGACAATATTCATATAATCTTTATTTGTAACAAATACTATAATCTAAAACTAATTAACCAAAAAAAACCCCATCAATACGTCAATATGACAAAGTTGAAATTTAGCAATATGACAAGTTGGGCAATTGGCAATACCTAATTTTACTAGAAGAGGAGCCGCAGAAGGAATAATTACTATCGGAGGATCAAGTGTCGCGGATGAGGCAGTCGGGCGAGTTGGCATAGACGATTGCCGATTGGCAGGGGGAGCGGGCCGGCTAACGCTAAAGTGTAGAAAAGAACTGCTGAACCGTAGAAGCAAAAGGGTTTTACTCGATTTCAAAACATTTTAGGAAGGCTGTAAGACGACGTCGTATTAGTCATTTAAATAATAAAAATTGGCTGCCAGCTGTATAGTCATCCATACTCAAAAGTCAAAGCCCGAAATCAAACTAGGAGTTGCAGGGTACCAAAGTAGCAGCGCCGTAGCGGGAAGTTGGGGAGGCACAAACACAAAGAACTCCGTCGGCACTATATTGGTGGTACATCGCCGGAAAATCGCCGGAGGGGGCACGTGCCCCACCGTGCCCCCCTCTCCTCCGCCCCTGCTTGTTGAACCAAAAAAGAAGGGGCCACCATGGTTTGAATGGGGAGGCTTTGGACACATCCAATCTAAGTATGCTAACAATTTGAATAACAAAAGGAAAGCTTTCTCATATAGATGGAGTGATGATGAACACGATTCAGGAGATGTTGGGGAGCAATTGTACTTTTACTTAGAAAATTTACATTGAAGAGCTTGAAGATCAAGGCGAACATCTTGCAGTCCTACAAGAAAAGTGGGCTGAGTTGTTAATGGCAAACAAATGGAATATCTTGGAGAAAAATAGACTATCCTCATAATTGAAAGCCATCAAACAAAAAATTGACGAAGTTCTCCTAAAGTTTGAACAACTTGGAAGAGAAAAATCAAATCTCAAACAACTCAGAAATTCTCAAAAGTTGATGCAGAATGCTGGTATTGAAGTCATTGATGGACAAGTGTATGTATTGAAATTTCATAGAGGTAAAACTGGTCTTGGATACACGGGAGATGGATATAGTAAAACACCTCTTGATCTCTTTATTGACAGAAAGAGCAATGCTATTGAAGAAACTTCTCGTAAAAAGGAAGAATAAACAATTGAAAAAATTGAAGCATCTTGTAAAGCACACTCTAAATGGAATGCTCAAAGACCAAGAAAACTGAACAGGATGACGTACCATCATCAGCAACACCATGCGAGAAGGTATTCTATAATTAATCCTTATATTAATTTCATGTGTTTTATTACAGAAAATATAGACAGATTATAAGACAATGTAACAAGTTAAAGAACAAGAGAATGAGGCGAACAACCACTGTCAGGAAGAATAAAAAGACACAGATGATGTGGATTCCCAAATACCTTGCATATATGTCTTCGTGTCACACTGCACTAGTGGTTGTTAGATGGTGGCTGTTCACACCACATGACAGGTGACAGATAGAGCCTGATAAATCTTCAACCAATAGAAGGAGGTAATGTCAGATTTGGAGAAGGTGTTCATGGACAATTGGGAATGGTGTTCTTAATGTATTTGGGTTACCACCATTAAAAAATGTGTGATTGGTCCAAGTCTTATAAGTAAACTTTTTTAGCATCAGCCAAATATGCGATCAAGGACTTGAAGTCATCTTCATACAACAAAAATGCTCCATCTAAGACAAAAACAAGCTATTTGTGTTAGAAGGTGAAAGAATCCATTGTAATATAAGGTGTAATATTTAAAGTGATTTAGTGGTAGGATTTTGTTAGACGAACATGGGACCCACAAATGCAAGAGATTTTGTTCCAAACTGCATAAACAAATTTGTGTGTCGTTTACTTCTTTCGTACTTCTATTTTCTTATAGGCGACAATGAAGGTGTTACAGCCCCCTGCAAGACACACCTTACAGTTACTTATGTTGTAGCACCTTTGTGCCATACCTTGTTTTGTTTGTGTTGCCTAATCTACATATTTGTTTGATTGGGTTATTGGATTAACCAATTCAAATTGCTTAATAATAGTAAACCACACATTTTTTGGCACGATGGTTGGGTGTTTGGCCGTGTGGTGCTTTCTAATAGTGGATTTTCTTTTAGGTGGAAGTTGTTATGTGATGTTTGAGATATCAACTTACGTTTTCTATCTCCATTATTTTACATACAATATAAAATATTGTTTTAAAGTAGATATAAAATATTTTTGTTTTTAACTTCTATACTTTTTTTTAATATTATTGACAATATTATAATGTAGTATTTGTTCAAATTTTTCCTCGATTTGATGATACAGAAAGAGCCACAGACCCAAATTTAGGCAAATTCCTACATGAATTTTGGGGAATGACCTTTCTATCACTCAGGTCAGGATGGAAGTTCAATTTCTATACTTACTTAACGTTAAAAATTACTTTCCTCACAATTTAGGCAACGTTCCATTCAACTTATTTTTTCTACTTAATACTTATTCTTATTATAATCAGATCAAACTAGATCAGATCCGATCATAAACAATTTTAATTAAAACTGCAATCAGATCAGAGGACCAAATTAGCTCTTAAAAAAATCATATCATATTATATTAGATCAGACCAACGGAACTCATCCTCAATAACTCTATGATTAAAGTAGGAGAGAAAAAAAAGAAGCTAAAAGCTGGGTAAATCCACGTCTGCTCTTGGCCAATCTCAGAATCAGAACAGGGCTTTCGGAGCCAGGAGGGGCCCATGTCTCCAGGTTCAAAAGCAGAGGGCGGTAAATCCCGACCGTCGATTGAATGGCCTGTGAGTCCATGATTGCGCCGCAGATAGAGAGAGAGTGGTTTTTATTACCGTTTACTCCTTCAAAGCCAAGAATAAATATTCATACACCCCCCGAGTCCCCCCAAATAAATGCCCACCCGCTTTCTCCTCACTTTCCATAAACCTCTCCAAAACTCTCTCTCCCTCTCTCTCTCTCTCCGATTCCTCTGTTGGAAGAAAGGTCAAAAAACTCTCCGGCGACTCCGATAATCGGTACGTTATGTCTCCGGTGTTTGAATTCTGTGTTTATTTGATTGACGAGAGGTGGGAGAGACTTTGAGCTTTACATCGACTTTTCCTAAAATGCGAGGTTTCCAAATTCTGAGGTAAGGAATTGGAAATTTTGCTCAATCGGGGTTTTAATGGAGTAATATTTTGAATATCGAATGGAGAGTTAATGGTCTTGCATTGCGCGGGCGGATTCGTTTCCTTCCGAAGAAGCAATTGAGGAATTGAATTATTATTGTTAATACTATAATGATTTTGCGTGGTTTTGTTCCTTTTCGGAGTAGTCATCAGTGATTCGTTTTCTCATTAGGAGATTTACCTTTTTCGTTTCCGTTTTTCCCCGGGTTGAGAGCGAGGTTTGAAACGGAAAAGTTACATTAGATGGAATTGAAATGCTATTGCATTTACTCTTCCAGGGAAATATTCGATTTCGTCTAGATATAGTGGGAGATCAAAACGTTTGGGGTAATGAAGGGTGGGATTTATGATTCATTGACGTTTTTTTAAATGTGAATTGATACCTAAATCACTAATTGTTCCATAATTGGCGTTGTGGATCCTGCACTTTCCCAATTTGCAAGGTTAAGATGGTTTTGATGATATATTGTAGCAAAGAGGCCTAGGCTATAGGCGGCCATCAAGACATTTTCTTTGCTTCCTTCCATCACACTCCATTAGATGGGCTGTTTCCAGTCTAGAGCAACACAGCACTATCTTGGACACGAAGACCCTGTGGTTCTTGCTTCCCAAACAGCTTGTAAGCCACACTTGTTTATTTTTTCATGTTCCTTTTGATATTCTTTGGCTGATTAGCTGCATGGAAAGGGGGGTTATTGCTCGGTTCAGATATTTTGGGAATTTTATTGAAGTTAAATAGTTCAAGTTCCAGTAACTTTGTTGAGAATTTCGTGTTTGAGATGGTACCATAAAGTTACTCTTCATTTCTCCTTTTGGATATTGATTACATCTTTTTGTACTTGGGTTGAAGTATTGAGAAAGTTTTCTTTTAGATTTTCTAACAACTAAACAGTCTGCAGTCTGTCTTGGGTCTACCTTTTGGTTTGTGATGAAGAGATTGGAGGCATTGTGAATGTTTGGTGCTCGAGTTATCTAAGAATTTCCCATGATACTTCATCCCTATTATTTTTGTATTCCTTTTTTTTCTTCCATCACAAAATAAAGCTTCTATTCGAAGGAAATAAGTAGTCTCTTGGAAATAAGTGTTGGGCTGATGTTGTTTTTCTCACTTCAACCTAAATCTCAATTACATTTCATTTCTTCTTAACCGTACAAAGTTAAAACTAGAAGAGTACATCACGAAGTTCCTTGCTTGCTTTGTGCGGCAATTGTTCATCATATTATGCAGCTGCCCAGTTGAACTGGGAGTTATTTGCATGCTTGCACATTACCAGGGGCGGATCCAACCAGTGACTGCCTTTGGTCTGAAAGAATATATAAGTATTAAATGTTTAATGCATGAGATGTATGTAACACTTGATGGCTTTTTTAAATATACGGAGGTCTTTGGTTGAGTGGTCATTGCTGCATTTTGTGTACTAATGAAATCATGAGTTCAAACCACAGGTGCAAGCCTACTCATTTAAAAAGTAGCGTACGCCAAGCTCTTAATTTGTACTTGTGTTATTTGCTTTTCTCGATGTCTTGACACCATCAAACCTGGATTTCCCCTCTCTAAGCTCATTTCATAAGGTAGAAATCCTCCTTTTCTGTTAATTTGTACTAAAGGATTTGATTTGTCAGTTCTTTTTATTTTTTGAAGCTTAATTTGTGCTATGCTCTTGCTTTTTGTTTGATTATATTGTTTCCATTTTTTTATTCTCAATCTTCTGGGTACATATTAAAGATTCCATTTATATACCTATACGCTATGTTTGGTTCAATGAATTAGGAAGGAAAGAAAAAGAAAAAGGTTTTTCTCCTTTTCCTCCTTTTTCTCACCAACTTGGAAGGATATTTGTTTTCCCTCTTCTTAGTAATTTTTTCCCTCTCATTATCTTTTCCTTCCACTATTCTTTTTTCCTCTCTTACCAAACAAGAGAAATTGTTTTCCTTGTCATTTTTTTCTTTTCTCTTTCAAATGTTTGAATGAAATCATTTATTGCTTTATCCTTTGATTTTGTGATATGCATCAATGCCTTATTATCATTTCTAAGCTTTGCAATCTTTCAAAATAAAAACCAAACTTACAGTTGAAATAGTTTTTTTTAATTGAATATTTGTCTTCGCTTGTTCTATTCTTGGATCTGCCGCTGTATGCGGCAAGCATGGGCCAAATAATCACGCAATGTGGGTTGGGTCACGCCGTGTGGTGGGGTAGGTGGGGGAGGAGTCTACATTGTCTGATTTTGTGTGATTCGAGAGGGCTAAGCGCTTCCTGGCAAGCAGCAAAGCTGCTTCCTATAGGGTTCTCCAGGGTGCTCACCCCTTTCTCCATGACCTTACAATATCCATTTTTCAACTTTGGTCTTTAAGGTGATTGAATTGCTCTCTTTTTTATGTTTGGTTTTGTGTTTCTCATCTGAAAACTGAAGTTACCATATATATATATATATGAGATTTGTGCTCTTGGGTTATGCTTCCGTCCTAACCAGTGACTGTCCCAATGTTTATTGACCAATAGATCTAGTGTACTGTACCAAAGCAAGACGTTGTTCTAAATTTCAAATCTATTTAATTTATTTGAGGTTTTTCTCTTATTTTTATTCATTTCTTTCCACACCATTTATGCAGTTAGTGTTAGCGAAGTGGAAGCACTGTTTGAGCTATTCAAGAGTATCAGCAGCTCAGTGATTGATGATGGACTGATAAGCAAGGTATGGGATATTGTGGCTGTGTTATACTGTTTAATTACCTGATAGTATATGTACCCTGAACCACAAGTTTGTTTTATCAGTCTTGCATTGTTGCAGTTCTTATTTAGTATGTGCATTGATATTTTGCACTTGTAGAACTAGGCTTTATGTAAGTCTACTTCAAAGTTGTTATATTCCCCTGCCATTTTAAATTTTACTACGGTAACTTATTATTAGTTGGAGTTAGGTAGATGAGAGTGTCTTAATATTGGATAATATCATCAATATTAATAAAGAAATGTCAAGCAATAATGTGAGTGTAATGTTTCCAAGGAAAGTATTATTACCTTGTCTGGTAGCTGCTTTATCATTATATGGCCTCTAGTCTTCCTCTCCAATTTGTTTCCTGTTTTTACTTTAAGAATATTTTTGAGTAAGATTAGATGCTACATGACATATATGATGCCTTTGACTCTCTGTTTGAGCTCTCATTTCATCTTCATATTGTGTATATTCAAGTATTCCATGTTTATGAAAGGAAACCATGATTCACATGCAGGAAGAGTTTCAGCTGGCTTTATTTAAGAACAGAAAGAAAGAGAACCTTTTTGCTAATCGGGTACGGTATAATATGCTTTAGATTTGACACCATGTTGTAGTTAATACGAAAATGGTCAGTTTGAGCTGAAGTATACAATGCACCAAGCAAGCTCTTTTCCATATGAGTGTCCTTTCTTATGCCCAGGAATATTTTAAATAAAGGATTAAATGATGATGTATCTATACATTTTTCTGTTTGCAGATTTTTGACCTCTTTGATGTGGATAAAAAAGGAGTCATTGATTTTGGTGATTTTGTTAGAGGGCTTAATGTTTTCCACCCAAACGCCCCACAAGAAGATAAGATCAACTGTGAGTGAAAAAATGCAGTATTAGATTCATAAATGTCATAGTGTCATACTATAGCTTTTCTATGGTCAAACTGAGTGCATAAACTAAATCACACATCTTTTTGGTTTTTGCAGTTTCATATAGGCTTTATGATTTGGATGGCACAGGGTTCATTGAGCGTCAAGAGGTGTTTGATGTTCTCCTTATAAAAACGTTACTTGATAAAATCAGTAAATGACTTTTCAAAAAAAAATCAATATATTGTGTGTTCGATGTTGGGCAACTTATCTATGAAATATTGAATATTTGTCGTACTGTTAATTATTTCATTCTGGATTGGTTTCCTTTTTATATAGTACCAGTATAAAAAACGTTTGTCACAATTAATGGCTATGCCACCCTGAAACTTCAGCTCACATTTGGTTAATGTTGATGCATTGTATGCTCTGCTTACCTGAAGCATTGTTTTGTCTATGTGATATTTATAGGTCAAGCAAATGTTGATTGCGCTTCTTTGCGAGTCTGAAATGAAGTTGGCCGATGAGACTGTCGAGATAATACTGGACAAGGTAATTCAATGACGATAATTGACTTCAATATTTCTTAAAATTAATTGTCTATACAAGTAAGCATGCTTCTTTTTTATCTCAATTGAATTTTCCAATTTCGTCTACCTGTTTTTTGTTTTATGTCAATTTCGATTTTGTATAGGCAGGAATGTCTTAAGAAGTGATGTTTAGAAAAATGGGAAGCCCGTCATTATATTTAGCTTCTAAATTTCTCTATGAAAATCAATGCTGTCTATCTATTGCCATAAGTAACCTTGATTTTCATGCTTGGCTGTGAGATGCTAGAGGGCACAATGTCTTACTGGATTATTTATGTGAACAGACATTTTTGGAGGCAGACACAAACCAGGACGGGAAGATTGATAAATGCGAATGGCATTCTTTTGTCACAAAAAACCCTTCATTGCTGAAGATAATGACACTGCCCTATTTAAGGCATGTTGCTAATTGTTTACTTTATACCCTCTCCCATCCTTGCATTTTCATTACAAGTTAGCTAAAAAAGACTATGATATTCAAACTTTACACTCATTTTTTTAATTTGGAAAATAAATACTCCCTCCTTTACATAGAATTTGTATGAGAGAAATCTTGTGAGCCACATATTTCATTACTTGAAAAAATGGGAAGTATTCTTTTGGGATGTCTAAAAAGGAAAAGTGGATACAGTTTCTTGGGATGAAGGGAGTATTTTAAAACAAATTGAACCAAACACACCTAGTATATCCTCTTCAAAAAAGAGAAGTGGATGAAGTTTCTTGGGACGGAGTACTTTTAAAACTAAACCGAACCTAAAGTTTGGGGGCAAGATGTGCTTTACCTAACCTCTACTCCAAGGAGTAGAGAGATTGTTTCTGAGACCTCCGGCGAACAATGACCCCCATAGGACACTTTTTTTTTATAACCAAACCATGGAGAAAAGAACCAACAAATGTTTCATACAAAATAACAATGCCTTGTAATAAGGGCTGTTCGTCTCATTTTAAAAGGTGCTCTGTAAATAACATTGTTCAACTTTGTTTACTATGATATGCAGGGACATAACGACCACGTTTCCAAGCTTTGTTTTCCATTCCGAAGTTGATGAAGTTGCTACTTGATGATGACATGATAAATAAGAGTCGGAAGCGGGAAATGTAGTTTAGCTTTCCCTTGTTATTTTTCCAGGTATCTGAGTTTTTTTTTCTTATCATAGGAGAAAAAGGCAGCAAAAATGTGTTGTGCGAGGCAAAATACATTGTTGTTCTCTTATGAACAAAAAAAATGGCGTGTGGGGAGAGAGCCGGCTAGTGGCTGTGTGAGTTAAACCGGCAAGCCGCTCTAATTGTATATTGTTAAAGGGGCCATTCGCGTGCGCTTGTATTACTGCCTGTTTGTTGCGGTTGTTAGGAGAAAACTATATTGATGTAATTTCAATGAATTTCGGCTTGTTGCGTCCATGCTTTCCCAAAGGACCCGGCCGGCCTCGAAATGTGAAAAAATGAAATTGGCCTTGTGTAAAATTCACGCATTAAACCCTATTCTCCTTGAGAAATGTTAGGTTGACAAATAAAATGGTCACAAAACTCGCAAACTTATTACTTGCGAACTTCAATAAAAAAAATTAAGTAATCTAAAATAATTTTAAAATAAGAATTTAAATTATAAATAGTAAGTTTGTGACTATTTTATTTGTAAACCTAGCATTGATCTTTTTTTTTATTTAGGGTTCTCGTGTTTGAAAATTAGCATTGAATTTAATTTTTAATAACCATTTTAAAACAATTTCAATATTAAAATATACTCCCTCTGTCCCATAATATAATGCCTATTTTGACTTTAGGCCATATTTAAGGAAGGAGAAAATTAAGGTTGACTTTCCCAAAATGCCCCTAACTTAAATTTTTAAATATTTGAAGCTAAAAATGAAATAATGAACAAACCAAAAAATCACAAACAGTTCTAGCTACACATACACGCACATCACAATAAAAATATCCAAACAAATCACTATATTCACCAAATCCATCACCAAATCTAAGTACACATCCAATCAAAGTCTTGGAGGGAAAAATTCCCTCCATTACACCAAAAATAAAACTGTCAAATCTATAAAAGGAAAGCAGCACTCCTTCAACTCCAGCCAAACAGCCCCTGGATCATCCATTGCCAAATCCCAAAAAATGGAAAATCCATTGCCCTCCTTCAACTCCAGCCAAACAGCCCCTGGATCATCTTCAAGCCTTCAACCACTTCAACGAAATTCCCGGGCTGCACCTGTCACAGAAGAAGGAGAAGGAGAAGGAGAAGACACTCATGATTCAGCAAGTATTGCCAGCAATAAAGGAGAAGGTACCAGAAGCCATCACTAAACACATCATCATACAGCAGGATAATGCCAAACCACATATTGATGTTAATGACCTAGAGTTTGTGTAAGCAGCCAATGCTGATGGTTACAGCATTGAGCTAACTTGTCAACCACCAAACTCACCAGACCTAAATATTTTAGACCTGGGGTTCTTTGCATCAATTCAGTCATTACAACATCAGACATCAACCAGAAATGTAGATGAGTTGGTTCAACGTGTGGCTCAGGCATATGCCAATTTAGAAGCTAAGAAACTAAAGTGTGTTTGGATTAGTTACCAGTTAGCAATGACAGAGATCATGAAGGTACAAGAAGGAAATAATTACAAGTTGGCACACATTGGAAAGGCAAGACTAGAAAGAGAAGGTGCATTGCCAAACCAACTTCAGGTAAGCACAGAACTGTATCAGGCCAGTGTGTGTGCTATACAGGGTGTTCTAGCTACTCATGGGGAAGGGGAAGGGAGTGCATCAGAAGCAGTGTAATTCTGTTCATCATTTTGTTTTTTGGTTTTGAAATATGCTCATCATATGCACTTAACTGGGTTTTTTTGTCAAAAGTGTGTATGTGCAGTATTTTGTAAGCAAACATTTTTTTGGGATGAATGTATGTTTGTTCATATTCTTAAAACCTCCAAACACATTACATATAGTGGGAGGCCACTCACTGTTACCTCCTTCACTAATTTGTAGTGGGTGGCTTTAGGAATACAGATTAGGGTTCCATAAGACAGACAGAAACATCACAAAACTCCCTATAAGCAAATTACAAACACCACTCAGGCATATAGTCATATGGCAAAATTCAGTGCAAATTGTCATCATTAGTTTCCCAGTTAGTGTCTAGAAGTAGACTAAAGCACATAAGGAGACACATAATTGAAATATTACACCCACATAAGAAGAGATGAATACTCCCCTAGAAGTCTTTGTAGCGTCGCTTTGGATCTGAGATAAAATATTCCCACAGAACATCATCCCCCTCTTCGTATTCGTAGGACTCAGATTGGGTGTCATCATCGTCCTCATCCTCTTTCTTCTTTACCTCTTTAGGCTCATCCTCTTTGGGCTTGTAATATGCAGCAAGCCTTTCCCTCAGCATTTCCATCTTCTTTTCAATACGAATCTCGTCAAAAACATATTCGAGCTCTGATTCGTATGAATTTGGAGTACTAGGGGCAGATGAGAAATCCATTTCATCATCTGTTCCATCCATCTCTGCGATCTACACAAAAAACAAATGAAAACATTAATTAGATTGTTGAAATAAGATTAATATACAAAAATGTGAGAAAAAACTAACCTTAGATCTCGAAGGGGTCAGGTATCCCCTAGATCTAAATCGCAGATCAGAAAAGAAAAACCCTGGATCCAAATTCCAGAAAAACAAGAATAGATGAAAGGACAGAGGAGAAAGATGAAAGGATAAAAGACGAGAAGGATGAAAGAGCAGATCTGAGAGAGGAAAGTGATGAAAGAGGAGAGACGCAGGGAAGATGAAGGAGGAACGATGAGGATTATGTCTGCTAGAGAAAGGGGAGAGACGCAGAAGATAAGACCGAGAATGAATGAGGGAAGATGAGTCGTTGGGTAGGAGTAATTAGATGGAGGGTATTTTGGGAAGTACACAACATTTATCATACCAAATAAGCAAACATGCATATCATTTTGTGACGGACGAAAAAGGAAAACATGCATTATAAATTGGAACGGAGTGAGTAAATTTATATTAATTACAAAAAAATCAAGTAATTTGAATGATGAACATTTAACTATATGGGATTCTAAAAATTTGGGGGCCGGCAGTCACTCTGTACACCTTCCGGGGTGCCCAAGCCAAAGGGAGAGTACTAACATCAAACTTCTAAAGGGAATATATAGTGTCTCAAATAATAGGATATTTTTGCGGCCGGTCGAGAACAATTTCATTTTGCATTGTAGTCCCAACTCCCAAATAAGCCAATTTCCACAACTAACGTGTTTAGAGTGGTGCTTCCTTAACAGATAAAGCTCTGTTTCATACAGTTCTAACTTTTAACTTAACAAATTACTCTAAATATGAGTAAAACATAAAAAAAGTATCAAAATAGAAATTCTATATTTGTATTTCATAAATAAGATGTACAAACTTTTACTCGCTCGGTGCTCAAACGATGTAAAATAGTTTTATTTACATATTGATCTAGAAATAAAAAATAAAACTAACATATTTAAAAACTATATCAAGTGTTTTGCAAAACAAAAGGTGATATGAATCCTTTACTTTATCAAAAAAATCAATGAAAAGATACGACTAAACAAAAGTTAATCGTGAGACCGAAATAATATAGAGGTAATTCATCTTGGGACAAATGGAGTAAAATATAATTTATTGCCAAAATTTTAAAACATTGACTCATTTCAAAGAAATATTGTTAACAAAAATTTTAAAATCATAAAGATAATTAAAATTAATTAATTCAAGAGATTATTAATTTACGTTGACTTTATGATGGTAACTAAAATATATCTCGAAGACAAATTTTTTTAAATAAGTTGTGACATTAAATCAATTTTTTATTTTATTGAGATGATGATAGTAAAAATAGTAGTAGTAGAATATATTTATAATCTATGAAAATATACCTAAATAATTTGTTAAAGTCCTATTTGGAAGGAATTGAAGAAGTTGGAAGAATTTGGAAGAAGTTAAAAATATTGGAAGAAATTAGAAATAATTAGAAATAACTGAAAATAATTGGAAAAAAACTCGAAGAAGTTTGAGAAAATAGAAAAAACTTGAAAAAACTAGAAGAAATTGAAAAAAATTAAAAATATTAGAAATTAATAGTTAGAACTAAAATGTAAAGAGCCTTAAATATAATGTTAGTCGATGCGCACAACTCTAAAAGAGGGATGTGAATAGAGTTGTTGAGAATATTTATCGTTTTTTGTAGTGTGTGTGTAAATAAATTAATGTGAAGTGAAAATAAATAAGAGAAGGGAAAAGACACACCGATGTATACTGGTTCACCAACTCATGACTAGTCCAATTCTCCGAGAGACTCTCTCGAAGCTACCACTACCTATCAAGCCTCGTACAATCGGTGGTAAATATGCTCTCAACAAGAACTCTCACAAAAGTAAAAATGAGAAAAATGATTAAACTCTATGAATGACAAGAAAACTCTCTTGAAAACAAATAGTTTTCTCTCAAACTAACTTAATTTGAGGAAATAATTAATAGAGGATGAAGCCTCAATTTAGGACAAAAGATTTAGACATATTCATAATCTTTATTTTGTCAAAAGCCTCAATTTAGGACAAAAGATTTAGACATATTCATAATCTTTCTTTATCACACTTTAAAAATGGAAGTAAATTGTACTCCGTAAAAAGAATACAAATAAAATGAAAATTAGATTTAATTTGTTTAGGAAAAAGATACTTGTAAGAAGATCAAGAAAAATTTTAAACTCTTTACATGCATCAATAGATTCTATACCCACAATTTTGTGAATAACCGGAAAGAGTACAAGTTTGAAGTTTTAATATTTTATATTCAAAATAAATTAAAACTTCGAAGTACGTTTTCTAGGTTTTTTCTTGTAACAATGGAGAATGAAATCAACATTATATTTCTTGTGTATTACTAAAGTATGAGGATAGAGGTGATTTTAGTAGATTGGAGGTTCTCATTTCATTTCCCAACTCCACTAAATTTTCAAACCACTCATAAAAGAATTAAACTAAAGAAATTTAAATAACATATGCATTTGGATAGTTTGTTGGTCGAATTGAAAGAATTTTAATAATTATTTAATACTTAGGATTCGTTTGGTACACAGAATTGACAAAATTGAAATTAAATTGAGAGATAAAATTCTGTGAATTTGATTTTGATGGAATTGAATTTTCCAATTTCAATTCATGTTTGACAATACCAATTCCAAATCCACATATTTTTGTGTTAACAAACAGTAGAATTGGAATTGTTGTCCTAATTCGAATTCTATCATTTGAATTTTGTGTACCAAACGGGGCCTTTAAATTGAAAGCCTAATGCAGTGATGCGTTTTAATACCAAAAAATACTACCACAAAAAA